AGAAAAAATAAATCAGAGTTGGTACAATAAAGGCAAGCTGAAGCAAAATAAACTTAAGGAAAAAACAGATGCGACAAATATACAATTAAGCAAAAGTTGACCTGTAAGATTCTGAAGGCGAAAGCCCGAGTTCCTACGCTTCAGTAAGGTCTGGCTGAGCGGAACTAGGACCCTTGGGATCCTCAACACCAAATGAGGATGAGATAGTTTGAGTTGGAGCCTTTTTAGCATTTTTCTTTTTGGCTTCAGCGGAGAGCCTCTCTTCTTCTTCAGTTTCAGCAATGGCCTTAGCTACCTTCACATTCCAACGAGCCATGAATTCACTCTCAGCATGATGAGCTGTGGTCAAGTGATAGTCGTTCTCGGTTAATGACCATTCCTTTGCTATGTCCCAATTGATCCTGGGATGAAGATGAAAAGTGAGGCGCCGAGGCGCCGAGCCGCCTTGTACTCGATGTCATACCCCTGATCATATTTTTCTTGAGTGTAGATCTAAACTTGCAGTAGCTTCTTGGCCTCGTAAAGGTCAGCTTGAACCTTTGTAGCTTCTGCACCTTGGTTCTTAAACTGATTCTTGACAATTGACAACTCAGTTTGAAAATGAGACACCTCGGTCTTCTTATCGTCCAGTTGAGTATTCAACTCAGCTCATTTTGGAGGCACTGAATTTCGGCAATCTGCTCTTGCTCCTTCTTCTTGACCTCGGTCTCGCGAGCAGCCACAACCTCATCCTTGATCTTCTGCTCAATCCGAGCTCGAAAGACAGAGATGTATACAGCCCCATACTTGTTGATCAGAGTCTTGCCCTAATCAATAGTGGGAAAGACATGTTGCTCTATATCATGGCAGAAGGTGTTGAACACATTAGCATCTTTTTGCACTCTCCCTCGGCATCAACAGCTGCCTTCTCGGCCTCGGCCTTCTTGCATTCAGCTTCCTCGAGCTTGCCCACCAGCTCGTCGTGCATATCCACTGCCATAAAAAGGTTATGAGTCATATGTAGAATAGAAGACAGAAATCAGCAGAGATTAAAAAAAAACCTTAAGTTAGAAAGCTTTAGATCGGGAAAGGTACCTACATCAATAGCCTCTTGTTAACGAGGAAAGGGTCAGGTACCCTATCAAAAACTTCGAGAGCACCAACAGCGGCTCCAGCAGTCCAGTTCTCACCCTTTCCAACTCAGACACGTTGAAAGGGTCACCGAAAAAAGCAAAGGTGTGAGGGCGCCACTCATCAAGAGTGACTCTGGCGCACTGAGCCATAGGGATAATAGGGACAGAGCCAAACCCCATTTAGGAGGAATGGAAAGTCCCTAAAGAACCAGCTGCCAAAGAGGAAGGCACGTTGTTTTGTTGCTTCTGTTGCTCCGCAGCCTTCCTCTCCTTTTCAGCTTCCCTAAAGTCCTTGTCATCGAAAACTTGTGGGATCTCATTCAGGATCTCCACTTCTCCTTTGGTGCCTCTACCCTCGGTAGAACCATCCATATTCTCAACCTCTTGCTGGATCTCTACGCTGAAAGGCTCGGGCACATGCTCAGGAAACAACACCCCCTCAATAAAGAGTTCACCCTCCTGAGTCCTAGCAGAACGCTCAAGAGGGGGATTTGGTTGCATAACTTCCTCCTCCCCATGTTTCTCAGTGGGGGGAAGAGTCTTCATGATCATCTCTCCTTTGGGAGGAAGGGGAGGAGTTTCTTCTTCTTGATCCTTAGGATCATTTTCCTCAATCCGAGGTCTCTTTGGTGAAGGAGGGGCGTCCATGAACTTACCAGGTTTGATGACCGCTCTTCTTTAGCGCAACATCAACCCTTCTTCGTCCGAAGACTCTTCCCCGTTAGAGTCTGTCCTGTTCTCTTCTTCTTCATCTTGTAGCAGAAGAAGACAGGGGGCAAGAGGCCGTATGATAAAAAAAAAACCCCTAAAACAAAAATACAACAACCAAGGCAAAGTCTCAAAGGGCTTACCAAAGAAAGCAGACGCTCGTACTCAGCTTCCCCATCCTCATCCTCTTCCTGTATGTTTCTCCTTCTCATCTTCCTCTTCCTCCTCTACAAACCCAGCCGCAAGGGACTCAGCAACTGCGTGAATCTCGGTTGCAGCACTGGCTATTGCCTAACCCTAAGGTCCCAAGAGGCAGAAAGGATCTTTCTTCTGCCACCAAGCCATCTATTTTAGATACTCAGAAGAGCAGACGATGGAGAACTTCTTCTATTTAAGGGCAAGAGGTCGATCTAGAGAGTCAAGGAAGTTTGGAGCTCGGTAAGTCACCTGTCTCTTGGCGTCGATCCCAAGCAGACTATAACTAATACTGGCATTGGCCTCAGTCAGCACTAAAAATCCAAAACGCAAACGTTAGTCAAATACAAAGACAACATGCTGAAAGAAAGAAGAAAAATGAAAGTAAAAAGCCTCGGCCCCAACCGAAATCCTGACCCCCGTGGTTCTTTTGGCTGAGGCCGACTACGGAAATCATCTTCTCTTAGAAGGCATAATGGTAGCAGGGCAATCAAGTCTCAAGTATCAAAGCCCTCAGCCCGGTACCCCCCAGGATTCATCCCTTTACCGAAGAGCTTTAGTAGCCTCTTCTCAACCTCGGTGATCTTGGGATCGTCAACCCCAATAACCTCCATCTCGGAGTGAGGGTCACTCAAGTACCGCGGCGCGCCATAAAAATTTGGGTGTCTCTCTTCATAAGGTGCCCGAACCCAGACCCATTTGCCTCGGTAATTCTTGTTCGAGATATCGTTCGGCTAGGAGCTAAGATGGCCTCAGACAGTTTCAATTCGCCACCAGCCAGGCCCATGCTTATAATCCGACTGGTTATTCTTGACCAACTTGTGGAGCCGCCAATAAACATAGAAGCTCGGCTCCAAACCATTAAATAGGCAGGTTCAAAGGAAAGTCATCAGCCTTCGGATGCTGACAAGGAACAGCTAGCAGAGGGAAATATTATAGGAGTTCAGCACATCCACAACAAAGAGATGCAGAGAAAACCGAAGACCCCCCCTGTAGTTAGCGGGTGTACACCTCGATGTAGCCAGGGGGAGGATGATGAATTTGATCCTCGGCAGTAGGCATTCGGCTCTAGTACCCATCTTCTTCATAAATGCCATAGTGGATCTCGATCTTCTCGGTAAACCGATAGGTGTCACCGTTACTTACCCACTAAGGGTAAGGCTCAGCCCTCATGACCCCTTTTTTGGCCGTAATATCTCTCCACTCACTCACTCCGACAAGCAGTTCCCAAGAACCGCTTACCGAAGGATTCACACCTCGGCCGGAGGTGCTAGACCCCCATAACCGCGCGGCGACGCCAAGTTTAGAGGATCGTCGGAATAAGCACTCTAGGCGGCCTTGCGTCAGAAGATTCCCCCCTTTCCATTTGCCAAGGGTTTCATCCGGTCAACGGGGGAATTATCCCCAAAGGTTGATGATGCTGAGGAGCTGGCGGAGGAACTTCCCTTCCCTTCCAAGACTCTATGACCCTCCTCCTTCGATTTTCAACCATCTCAATCGTCGAGTGATTGGAGAAATCGGGAAAAAAGGGGAATAATTCGAAAAAAAAGAAAGGGTATCCTAGAAGTCAGAGAAAACCGAAGAAACACCAGGGAAAATTACCTTTACCAGAAGCGGAATTCGCGATCTACAAGTTCGGAGCAACGGATTTTTGTTCCAGAAGAAAAACCTCTATCAATAAGCGAGAATCGGAAGTCGCACTGGGTTCACTTTGGGATTTTCGCGGAGTTCAAAAGTGTTTGGCAAGAGAAATGAGGGGAGAGAGTGGGGCAAAAGGACTAGATATTCCCAAAAATGGGAATTCTAAGAGTTCGCGCCACTAACTCACCATTAAACATCCGTTAAACACACTCCTTCCAATTACCCACTAAACCTTCCAACTTCCCTAATTACTCTCCAAATAGTGGTTATATCATTAATATCTACCAAATTCAAATTTCTTAATTAAATCATTTACTTCCCTCCATTTTGCAAGTCCAAACCCGACTCGTCATGCTTTTAAATCGGGTCTGGGGGCAAGTTGTTTGGGTCCAATTCACTCCAACTGGGCCAGTCCATAAATAATTCAATTATAAAGCCCAAGATCAAGGTTCAACTCTCCAATCCATGCTAAGTAAAGTCAACGGCCTGGTCAACATGGCAAGCCCCTTGACTTAAGGTCCATTATCCTTATTTTTCTTTGAACGGGACATTTTCCTTATTATGACAAGGTATAAAAGCCATCAATCCTCTCTCTTTAAATTTGTTCACTTCAAGCCTCAAGCCCGCAATGAATACTCTTGCATAGCTTTCTCTCTCTAAACACCGTACTGACTTCGACATCAAAGGGGCCTTCCTCGGCACAATTCTCGAGGCTTGTTTACGTGTGTTTGTTGTGAAGGAAATCCTCGGCCCAGCTATCACTTGGACCGAGTTGAGTCTTCAACCCATTACGAAAGGACTTATCCAAAGGTCCCATTGTTTTCACCCTAAATAACTTTTATATCAATACAATGACATATAAACATAATCTTCTTTTTTTTTCTTTTTTTTTTTTTTTTTTTTTTTTTTTTTTTTTTGTGGAAAACATATAAACATAGTCTTATTCCATATTACTCTATTATTAATTATGCCAACCTTTTAATTTGTTCTCAACAAAAAATCTTATCAATAATCCGAGTGTTTAAAGTATACAAATAATCTGTCCCTATTTTGTTATAAGAATCACTAATACTTCGTATTTGGATTGAATTAGCATATTGAACAAATTCTTGAATTGTAAATGACAAACTACACTTTTGTGCTGGAAAGACAGACATGGGACACCATTTAGAATTTTGGGAGTAAGTAATTATTTGAATATTTATTTGTTCTCAGGTTGTTTCCCATCGTATTGACAAAAACAGATGAAAAGAAGACGAGAAGAAAAACAAAAAAGAGAAAATAAATTAATCATAATATATAAAATTAAAATTAATGACAGAAAAGTGAAGAAGACAGAATCAATATCTACTAAGATCTTTAATTAATAACACCTCTTTCTTTCAACATCTACTACATTTTCTTAATCTCTCCCTCTTTGAGAGAGTAGATTAAATTAATTAATTACTTTTTGAGGGAATTAATAAATTAATTAATTTTGTTGCTCATCATGGCTTTTTTCATTCTCTCATTCCCACCTTCTTCTTAACTGACCTGTCAAAAGTGAGGCACAAATGATTAGTCTTTAAGCTTTTCTTCTTCCTTCTAAAAATTATTTTTTGTTTATTTATTCTCTTTAATGAAAAATTATACTCCGTATTATTTTCGATGAGAAATAATGGTAACACAAAGTAATGTGCAAAATAATAAACAAAATATTATCAGATTTTCAAATATATCCTCACTTTAAAGAAGACGTTGAAAGATGATTGATAAATCAGCAAGATAAAAGCATAATTAGTAACATTATCTCAATTACGGTAGTTGAGATAACTTGACTATTAATTTCGGACAAAGGGAGAATATAATTACCAGGCTGTGTAAAATTATATGTATCATCTATATGAGAAGACTGCCAAAAAGAACCATAGTGATTACTGTATGAAGAATTTCCCTGAAAAAACAAAAAACATCAATATTGATTATATACATAGAATAAGAGTACAAGGCATATTCTATGATAGTGGCTAAAAATGTTTCTACCTGATAGTGGCTTGCTGAGAAATTTTCTGAGAGGTCCATAGTAGAGGAATTATCATATAACTGCCAAAAATAAATAATTATCATAAATAAAACATTAGTTTAACTATAATAATGATTGACAATTCTTAACTAATAAACTTATACTATTAGTAATAGTAAGGCATAATTGAGTACCTTAGAATGCGTAATGGCAGGAGAGCTAGCAGTGTCATCAAGATGATAATGTTGTTTACTAGTAGCTTTCTTATTGTCTTTGCTCGACTTCTTTGATCTCTTATCAATTTTTTTCGACGATTTTCGAGTGTACGATTGGTGTTCATCTTCTTGAAGAAGAAAATGTGGAGGACCAGAGGATGCATCAGACACCATAGATAAGTCCTCTACACCATCATCTTCGTTGTTTCGAGTCGAATTTAATCTATAGCTTTGATGGTAATCACCAATATTTTTTGTTCTTGGTATGTATGACTCTTCTAAGTAGACGGTCCACCCTGATTCACACCCATTACTCCATTCTGAAGCAGCAATATCCATCTTCGATTTATATTTTTAGCGTATAGGATAGAAGGACAAATAATGTAAACGAGATTTAATCTCAGATCTTGAGTATCACCTCTCAAGTCTTGATCTGAATTGGACAGTTTATGAATATATTTCAGAAGTTTGTGTATTTGATATGAATTGGAGAGAGTGGGTGTGCTCTCTATATAAGGAGAGAAAAAGGGTAGAAATGAAAAAGGGGTAGAATATAATAAATAACATTGATGTATAATATAATGTTTATAGGCTAAATTTGTCCTTTACTAAAAATGTTGCTACACCTCAATTTATGATCATATGATTAATGAATCAAAAATGCCAGTTGGCAGTGCTCTTTTTAATTTGAAAGTGAGGTAGGAAAGAGAAAGAAAGAGAAGGGGTGGGTGAAGCCTGTTATTATCAAGTAGTAGAATAGGTGATTAATGGACAAATTTGTGATTATTGAAGAAGTTATGTTATGAATTGAATAATTGGGTCGAGTATATTTGTTATTTTGCTAACAGAAACTCCTTTTACTTGATTTGACTTATGACCTTTGACGCCTGATGTGGCATCTACGTCGTCCACAAGAGATTATGTAACAGCCGATTTTGGATATGTTATTATTGTTGTTGTTTTGTGAGATGCTACTTGATCGACTTAAGGTCTATTCACATTTACTTAATTTCAGTTTAATTCAGTTCAATTCAGCTCTAATCAGTTCGGTTTAGTTCAGTTCAGCTCCTATCAATTCAGTTCAGTTCAGTTCAGCTCTTAATTTCCCTCTCTCATAAAATATTCATTTCAGCTTAGTTCAGTTCAGTTCAGTTCAGTTCAGCTCCAATCAGTTTAGTTCACTTCAGTTCAGCTCAGTTCAGTAAATGTGAACATGCCCTTAGCATTAAGATGACACGAATTAAGGAGATCATTTGCAATAGTGTACCTTTAATTAAACAAAGAGAAATCATGAATTGATCGGTTCACCACAACTCTTTAATGGATGGGAGTTGGTAGCGGTTCAATATAAGTGCTTTATTAGGAACATGTCATATTGATAAGCTGATGAGTGAGTTGGTAGAAGTTGTTATGCACACTCGGGTGCACGGTATATCCAAGGAAACTATTTGCTTATTTAGATATTAGTAGATGACTATTGCTCATTTAATTATCAAATGAGAAATCAAAGGAGCAAAAAAATAATCTTGGGTGCATCTTGTACTCGGGTATATATGAAAAATTTCAGCGAATTGGAAGCTGGAAGATATTGCAAATTTGTAATTATAAAAGATTTTACAATGATTTGAATAACTATTCAAAATTGAGAAATTGATCAATAGAATGATGAGATTAGAGAATATCAAGGATTTTCCTAAATACAAACTCAGTTGCAAAGTATGCAATGCTTATACAGAAAATACGCAAGCAAATGCCCTATCATGCTTGTCGCACAAAGGAATATACTCCCTCATTTCTAAAGAGATCATTCATCGGATTCTAATAGAATGTCCAACTTATAAGAGATGTTTTCCTCATAATTAAAAAGAAAAATTGCCAAAAATAATACAGGCATGTTATTTTTTAATAATACAACAATTATACAACCTTTGGATTATTTTGTAATAATATAACTTTTAAGGGGTATTCATTTTGAACAAGACAAGATCGAATTTTCTGTGGCTTTTGAAATTAAGAAAGGAGAGACGATGAGTTTTTGGTGGTGGGGATAGGAAAGGGGGAATATCCCCTCCCCTTCTCTCAACTCAAAATCCACCGAAAATTTGATTTTTTCTTGTTCAGGTTATATTATTACAAAATAATCAAAAGTTTGTAATATTACAAAATAATCAAAAGATTCTACAATTAAAAAAGAATGAGCCTAAGATTGTATTATTTTTGACAATTTTTCCTTTTAAAAATTATTGTGACTAAATTTTTTGTAAACTAATAGAAGGCTCTTTTTAATGGTGTAGATCTATTCACGAGTAAGTTACGATGTTCTCACATAAAAAACCTACATAGTAGATGAAAAAAAAGCCATCCAGAGAGTGAGAGAGAGAGAGAGACTCCAATTCAAATCTTTGAATTTTTTTTTGACAAAGAGAATAAAGAAACAAACTAAATACGTAAACAAAAAAAATGTAATTTGTTATCAAATACAAGTTTACAAGGTTTTGTGTAACTCCGTTTCACATGAGTCCAGTTCAACATCACATCATCAAAACTCGACTTCATCAAAACCCACAACAATGGCGGAACCTTTAGCCTCCGATCTAAACGACCACCTTCCTCTGTAACTAATCAAATCTGAAACAATTCCGCCATCATTTGGTTGCCGGACTTCGCCAGATACTCATGGAGCTTCCGCTCTCCTCGTTATCTCTCACTTTTCTTCTGCTCTCTCTCCTCAACAGTCTCGCATTATATTGATCCTGTTTTCCAGCAAGTCTTCGAACTCCGATGCCGTCTCTGTTGCTTGGTCATCGGCGGTTCCCTCTTCCGCCGATTTCGTTGACGCTAATAATCGTGTTTTTTTTTCAATATGATTCTTCTCTAGGTATATTTAATTTGCAGTTTTTACAAATTTCTAATATACTAAGGTGGGCTGCGCACGGGATGCGCGTGGAGGGCTAGCTCTGCAGAGAAGCTTTATTAGTGTGTATTTACACCATTGGTTAAGGTGGTAAATCTGGCAGTTTTACTATGCATTATTTGGGTTATGTGCCTATGTGGTGGCTTTGTAGAAGTAAAAGAAAGCCACCAAAATCTTTTATGACAATTATTTTTTAAAACCATCAAAATTTAACAGTGTTATTTCAAAATTATTATTATTAAATAATATTTATTGATTTGCATTCCTTCATATCTTAAGCAATTGTTAGTTCAGAACTCTTAATTAATTTGCATGTTTCAATAATACCTAGCGTGTTTTTTCTTCAAATGAATTCTTTAAGAGCTTTGGTCAAATAGAGCAATAGTATTTTGGGTGTTTTTGTCCCTCGGGAGAGTTACGTCACGAAGTCTGGTCCGGCTGAGTTGTACCTGCAAAACAACGGAGACTCCGGGTGGTTGGAGCTCCGCCTCCGACGATCAAGTTAGTAACTTAAAAGGGAATAAAGAATGCGGAAATTTAGGTGGGGATCTGCTTGGATTCCAAGCTCAGGTGTTTCTCTGATGAGAGAGTGTGGGTGTAATAAATGATTGAATGTTCTGTCCCCAAAGTGGGGAAATATCTCCCTATTTATAGGTTCATTGGAGAATGTTCCCTTGTCTAGGTCACTTGACCTATATTTTGGTGGGTTGCGCCGTTTTACGGCGCTTCTTGGGATTTGGGCCCTTGAAGGCCACCAGTTCAGAGGTTTATCCAAGGGGGCCATGTATCGAGAGGATATTAGGCCACGTGGGCCACCCTGAACTTGACATGTGGCCTCCTCTCATTGGTTCACGTGTCTAGAGTATTTTTACCCTAAACATTTGCCCCTCATAGGGGTCACGCGTATATCATGTGAGGCCTGTAACACGTGTCCACCTATTAGAGGTGAACAGTAACGGGTAGTAAAATTTGAATTTCAAACAGGAATTTCCCTCCGTTTTCACTTTCTATGAAAAGAAGTTTACCTCCCCCTTTTTCCTCACCTTATTCACATTTGACTTCTTTAGAGAGAGAAAGAGAGAGATTCTCTGCCTCCGTCTGCATCAAAGCATTTTCAAGTTTCCGTGTGCTAGAAATTTAACACCCGGTTTACCGGCTGCAGCGGTTTTCAAATTATCAGAGTTAAAGTAAGGTAACCGCCTGTACCATTTTAGCTTTTCTCTTTTTTAACTTGTATACAATTCTTTCTCCGCCTGTATACATAGTTTTAGTAAATAAAAATGAGTTCTCAATCCACTCACTCGGCACTGCCTAGGACACTCAGCCGGTCCCCAGGAACGGCTGAGTCTAGAACAGGGGGTGCCTTTTTTGGACTGTTAGAACCGATGTTCTCATCTCCGAATTCCTCCCTCTCTGTGTCTGTGAAGGACACAATGGCCAGAACGAAACAGACGGCCAGAAGGTCTAGTAGCCGGCGCACTATAGCAATGCCGGCCGATGAGGTTGTCCCAGACGGGGAACAGAGGGATTTGGAGGAGAGTGGTTCTGATGAAGAGGCTCCCTCTACTTTTGGGAGCTCAAGTGTACGAGAGGTAGACGGTGAGGAAGCCGCCTCCTCTAACGGAACCGGCGATGCTGAGGCCGGCGAAGGGTCAAGGGCCCAATCTTCTGGCTCTGACGAAGATAACTTTCCGGCTGACTATCAGTAGCCGCCTAAGGTCGCCGACCTCCCCAATCCCAAGCGGACTAGAATGTTGCCGGGTAACATTTCCCTACTTAAGAGCGGCTTTAGGGCCTTTAAAGAGAAGCACCCCTTTGGAAGGGGCTGGGACATCATCGTTCCGCCGGCTGATGCAGTAATGTCTTGGAGCGATGACATTAATAACGCAGACCATTACTTTGTCTGCTACGAGGCTGTCATTGAAGCCGGCCTCCGGTTCCCCCTTCATAATGGGATTAGGAAAATCCTGAAGGGGTATGATTTAGGAGTTTAGCAGCTCACCCCCAATTCGTGGGTGAACATTCTAAGCTACATCTCCTCCTGCAAACTCCAGAATATAAACCCAAGTTTCTCCGCCTTTGCTCACATGCATTATTTGAGCAAGGCACTAGGCGGCCATGGGGCATGGTATACTCTTACCACCTTGCCCCAATATCTGATGAGTTTAGACAAAGTGTCCAAGTGGTCCGGGTGGAAGGAAAAGTTTTACTTGATTTCTTCCCCAACTTTGAGGCATAACCGGACACTGCGCCGGTAAACATAGAGCCGGCTCTTCTAGGCAGGAAGTGCCCCCTCCCGGAGCTGTCTACTAAGGCTCGGGAACAAATAAAGGATCCGGGTTTTTTTTTAGACCACAACCGAGCCCATGGGGGATGGGACTCACATTATAGTTCCCAAAAACTGGATCCCCCATCCGGACTTCTTCAAGGACGAGTGCTTCTTGTCCGCCTGCGGGTTGAGTCCCATGTTTCCCAAGGGTAGATCACCTTACATCCGGAGTATTTGCTATTGTGTTATAAATACAAATTTTCCATAATTTCTTCTAACTTGAATTCTATTCATGCAGCCGACGCCTTGAAAATGGTTGATCCAGCGAATACTCCGGCTAAGTCGGCGGCG